GACCACTTCCACCCCAAGGTGTCCGTTATCTCATGGCGCCACACCTTCGAGCAGAGGGATCAACGGTCCGGGGAGTCAGCCAAGGAGTACATCGCCGCGTTACGGAAGGCCGCCAAGCCCTGCGAGTTCAAGGACCTCGAGGAACGACTGAGGGACCGATTCGTGTGCGGGTTGAGGCATCGAGAGCTACAACAGAGACTTTTCGCTAAGGAAGAATTATCCTTCCAAGACGCTTTAAGGGAAGCCACCGCGGAAGAAGCAGCAGGCGGCGCCGTCAAGAACATGCGGCCGATCAGAAGCAGTGCAGAGGGTGCGTCCGTGCACCAAGAACGTCCGACGAAACTCCGAGGAGGATCCGGACGAAGAAGTCGACCGTCTACACCCCGCGAAGGGAGAAAATCAGAAGGAAAGCTCTTCAGCTCCGCTCAAGTGCATCGGCTGTGGAGGTCGCCACAGGAGAACCGACTGCAAGTTCCGCTCCGCTACCTGCCGGGCATGCGGCAAACAAGGGCACATTGCAGCTGTGTGTCTGGGCCGACGAAAGGCACAACCTCAAGAAGAACGCCTGAAGGGTACCAGAGTCCCCAGCCAGAATAGGGTAGGTTTTTGCGCTTCGCGTAGAAACATTTGTAGGACAGGCACACACAAGCCCATGAAGAAAAAGCTGTCACTCAACGTGAAGCTACAAGGGGTTCCATTATCTATGGAACTAGACACAGGGTCTGCCCTTTCCATCATTTCATTGCATACATTTAGGAAGATTTGTTCCAGTAGTGGGACTAAGGCCAAGTTAAGGCCTTCTGATATTGTATTAACTGATTTTCAGAACTCAAGAGTGTGTGTTAAGGGGGAGGCCACCCTTAACGTGCAATACAAGAGTTTTGAAGGTCCACTAGACTTGTTAGTAGTAGGGGGTGAAAGAACGAGTCTCATAGGACTCGATTGGTTTGAGGCCCTGGGGATACACGTCACAGGACTCAACAGCTTACAAACACTCGACCTACAGGAAGTCTGCAAGGAATTTGCAGATGTTTTCAGCCCCCAGCTGGGCACATTCAAAGGACCACCTGTGTCCTTAAAGCTAGACCCCACTGTCACTCCCATTAGGATTAAAGCAAGAAGGGTCCCTTTTGCTTTAAAAAGTAAGATTGACACTGAATTAGACAAACTAATCCAACAAGGAATCCTAGAACCTGTTGATTCCAGCCCATGGGAGACCCCCATTGTCACGCCTCTAAAGGCAAATGGGGACATTCGCATTTGTGCTGATTACAAATGCACACTCAATAAGGCATTGCAGCAACATGCCTATCCTGTTCCTGTGGTCAGTCACATCCTGGCCTCTCTCAAGGGGGGGCGTGTTTTTGCAAAGCTTGACCTAGCTCAAGCATATCAACAGCTGCCTGTTGATAATGATGCTGCCATAGCTCAGACTATTGTGACCCACAGGGGAGCCTTTAAGGTAAAAAGGCTGCAGTTTGGAGTGAATGTCGCTCCTGGGATTTTCCAAAGCGTAATGGAAAACACACTACGAGGTATACCAGGGGTCTGCCCCTACTTTGACGATGTCTTGATTGCAGGAGACTCCACACACATTCTAGCTGAAAGGCTTAGGGCTGTCCTGTTAAGATTCAGGAAATCAGGCCTTAAGCTCAGAAAAGACAAATGCAAGATTGGGGTGCCTTCTACTGAATTTCTGGGATTCAAAATTGATGCTGCTGGGATTCATCCTGCTGAATCCAAACTAACTGCTATTTTAGAAGCACCCAGGCCAAAGTCTAAGGCCGAACTTCAGGCCTTCTTAGGCCTCCTGAATTTCTACAATTCTTTTCTTCCACATAAAGCTAGTGTAGCTGAGCCTCTTCACAGGCTACTAGACAAACAAGCTGTGTGGCTGTGGTCACAAGCACATGAGGCTTGCTTTAAAGAAGTCAAGGCCTTGCTCACTTCTAACAGTGTTCTTGCACATTTCAACGAGTCTCTTCCTGTGTGCATCGCTTGTGATGCATCCCCCTACGGGGTTGGAGCTGTCCTGAGTCACCTCAGGTCTGATGGAACTCAGGTTCCTATTGCATACTACTCCAGAACATTGTCTTCTGCCGAGCGCAACTACGCTCAGATAGACAGGGAGGCTCTGGCTGTTGTTGCTGGAATTAAAAAATTCCACGATTTTCTATATGGCAGGCATTTCACGGTCTTCACTGACCATAAGCCTCTGCTGGGACTGTTTACCACACGTAAGCAGACTCCCCACATCATTTCCCCTAGAATGCTTAGGTGGTCTATTTTTTTGTCTGCATATGATTTTTCATTACTCCACAAGCCTGGGAAAGAAATGGGCCATGCTGATGGCCTCAGTAGGTTGCCTCTGCCAGTAGTAGAAGCTGACCCCGCGCCAGCTGTCAACATTCTATCAATCCAAGCCTTGCCCGAGCTTCCTCTTAGTGCCAGGGATGTTACCGCTGAAACAGGTACAGATCACACACTTTCACGTGTCCGCTCCTGGGTCCTGTCCGGGTGGCCTGAGCACTGCCCTAGTCCTGAGTTTCAGAGTTTCTGGTCCAAAAGGAACGAATTGTCCCTTTCTCAGGGTTGTTTGCTTTGGGGAAACAGAGTTGTCATTCCCACCTCAATGAGGGCTAGGGTCTTAGAATCCCTCCACGAGGGTCATCCTGGCATTGTTCGTATGAAGGCTCTTGCACGCAGCCACTTGTGGTGGCCTGCTTTAGATAAAGATATTGAGGCTAAGGTACACGCATGCCACATGTGCCAACGATCTCGCCCAGAGATGCCCCAAGCTCCTGTGCATAAATGGGAGGAAACACAGTCCCCATGGTCTAGGGTGCACATTGACTACGCTGGGCCCTTTCAGGGCCAGTTCTTCTTGGTCCTTGTTGACAGCCATTCAAAATGGCTTGAGGTTGTGCCTGTCTCGTCCACCACCACTGCAAAGACTATTCAGGTACTGAGGGGGATTTTTGCTGCACACGGGCTGCCAGATGTCATTGTGTCTGACAACGGCCCTCAATTCACCTCCTCCGAATTCCAAGCTTTCTTACAGGCAAACCTGATTCGTCATGCCACATCTGCGCCTTTTCACCCATCCACCAACGGTATGGCTGAACGCATGGTGCGCATCGCAAAGGACGCCTTGAAGAGACTCACCTACGGGGACTGGCATCACAGGTTGGCTGACTTTCTCCTTTCTTATCGCACCACACCGTCCACTTCTACAGGGAGAAGTCCAGCTGAACTTCGTTGGGGGCGCCAACTTACTACGAGACTTGACCGGTTGCATCCGGACAGACTGCCTTCATCTACCTCACATCCTAGGGCACCTAGACAACTACTTGTGGGTGCCCCGGTTTGGGCTCGCAATTACGGGCCTGGTCATACATGGGTCCCCGCTTCTGTGTCCAGGATCACAGGTCCTCTCTCCTACGAGGTTGCCCTGGACAACGGTCGTGTCCTGCGTCGGCACATCGACCAACTCCGCTCTAGGCGGGACTTTTCTGCTGAAACTCCTGGGTCTTTTCCAGGGGGGGAGGGGGACCCTTTGGAGCAAAGGGAAGGGCAAGAGCTACTGCCCATCGCCACTGAGGGAGCCACAAACGGCTCGTCCCAAGGTTCTGCAATTGCTCCGAAAAGGAAGTCTTGGAGCTTACCCACACAACAGGCACTCACGCCTACTCCAGCCAGGGAGTTACCCCGGGGGCATACTCACTTTCCACACACAGCACACAGCACTCCAGCAACGGAGGATACCCGGGGGCATCCCAACAAATCATTCCCCGCAAGAGAGCTGGCACACAATGCCCAAGGTTGGCCTGACCTTACCCCAAATCCTACAGGGGGTCAAACATACACAGAGCTAGTCGAGGAACCAAGTCCCGACTACAACACCCCTAGCACAAATCAGGGGACACCTGAGTTTTGGGAGAGTACAGAAACCCACACGAGCCCAAACACAGAATGGGGTTCAGGGAATAGACAGCCTCCTGACAGGTCTTGGACTGACCTAGGGGGTTCTACAGAGACGCCCAGCAGTGGCTATCACTTCAAGGGGCCTGAGGGTCTACAGCTAGGTAGGACAACCAGGTCACAAAGCAACAGAAGCCCTGGCCTGACGAGCCCGGTGGGCAAGCAAGCAGGCCAGGCATCGGGGCACAGTCCTTGGAAGACACCAGGGCACAGTAGAGAGAACAGGCTCATGCCTCCCTCCAGTCAGGGGACTTATGCCAGTAACCCAGAGCTAAGAAGGTCACAGAGAGCAAAGAAATCTCCTAAGTACCTAGAAGATTACATAACATTGTTGGCAAGACAGAAGCCAGTAAACAGTGGGAACACTGGGGAGCAAATTGTCGTGTAAAATAAATGTTGTATGTTGATAGTAGTTTTAGCCCGGGGGAAAGGGGTGTTATGTCCCGAGCCTTGCAAACGGCTCGGGCGTTTGCAGGCAGTCCCGGGCAGGTGCAAAGCTGCCCGGGACCAGACAGGCTGTCGCCAGCGCCGTGCGCATGCGCGGGTGCTGGCGCGGGAAAAGTAACCCATTTACCCGGGAGTTGCCTATATAAGAGGCTGTGAGGCGTTTGGGCTGAGCTGAAGCCATCTTCCTGTAAGCTGAACGCTGAATAAAAGAACCTGAGAACTCCAGCTGCTTCTCGTGTCTGTTTTCCCGCCAAGGACGCAACAGTAGTGATGGCTGTTTTTGACACTTCATTTCTTACAGCCCTTTGACAACAGCCTGACACTTGGAAGGTGCTTAAAGCCAAACCTAGCCTTTGTGTATGTGTATGTGTGGGGGTGAGGTGTCTGTGTCTGCATGTGTGTCTCTAAACAAAACCAGATGAGCAGTAATGCTTGGCTCATAATTTGCATGACTGATCTTGAGACCCAAATAGAAAAGGCTAATGGCCATCTGTGTTGCACATAAAACAACAGTGGACAGAAACATAATTGGCACCTAGGAGGACAGTAGAGTTCACACAAACCAATAAAAATCCAGATTCTTCCCCCATTTTTATTCAATAAATAATCTTGGACAAATAATCCTGAATGGCCACGATTTCTGTCATCCATCATCTGAAAGTCAGCAAGTCATAAAGACACCAAGGTATGGGTGATTCCTTGAGCACGAAGGTCTTTGCATTCTGTGATGAATAGAGACTATTCATGTCAATTAAATCTTCCTGACCATCTTCCTGTCCAGTTCTGCCTTTCTGCCCAATTCCGATTCTGGTATATCTTTTCTTATGTGTCCACAGTGAGAGTTAAGCATGCATAGGCATTCTGGAGTGGAAATGCAGCCTCCTGTAGCTAAACCAGATCGATGTCAACGTTGTGGTGAAGGGGACAGAAAAAGCAAGGCTAGAAATGGTGAGAAGGAATAAGAGTAAAAAGGGATGTCACAATCACTGGAAAGCAGTTACTAAAAATATGCATATCTTTGCACATCACTCTTAGGATTGTCAGGTTCAGATTTGGAGATGAAAGTTAATTCTTTAGGACTCCAAACCTTGGAAGAGTCAGCTTCTGTGAAGAGGAAGTAAATCCTAATGTGCCACTTAGAGACTCTTCATATTTGTTCATAATTGTCATTTTAGCTATCCTTCATTCTTGCTGTGGGGAAGTGAAACAAGAGTCCAGCTAGGCCGAAAGGAAAGGAAAGGAAATTAAACCAAAGAAGCATGAGGGCTGGCATTGTCACTGCAGACCATTGTCACACACACTGCTGGAGCCTTTAAAGCTTCTGACATAGATATTTGCGGTTGTGAGCTAGCAACAGTACCCAACTCTGTGATCATCTTTCTATTCAAAATCACAGCCATCTAGCAAAAACCTGTAATAAAGGCAGCTAATGGAATGAGGAGGTGGAAAGAAAGGTTTCACCAAAATATGATGCCTGGGAAGTGTTTAGCAAAGGCTCTGATCACACCTACCAGGACCAATGGAGGGGGGAGTGAGTGTGAATTGCTGGAGAACAGACATTAAGTATACCATCCCTTTAAGCTTAATTCTCCACTGCGGCAGAGGACATTGTTGTGTTGGCTGTGTTGAAGCTGCAAGCCAGCCTCTGTTTGGTAGACTCTAGGTAGGAAGGATCTTGTTCTTCACTTCAGGCTTGCCAATTATTTGGGGGTGAAGGAAGGACTCACTGGAGAAGGGCCTAGTGCTGGGAAAGATTGAGGGCAACAGAAGAAGGGGACGACAGAGAATGAGGTGGCTGGATGGAGTCACTGAAGCAGTAGGCGTGAGCTTAAATGGACTCCAAAAGATGGTAGAGGACAGGAAGGCCTGGAGGAACATTGTCTGTGGGGTCGCGATGGGTCGGATACGACTTCACAATTAACAACAACAAACTGATACCCACAATTAGGCATCTCTGCCATTTGAAACCAAATCAGCGCCATAGCCTTAGCAATTGCAAACACATTAAGATGCAGTTGGGAGGCTGTGGTCCTTATTGAAGATAGCTTCTCCCTAGGCTACCAGTGTGAAAATTCATGGCTTTGACATCTACTGGAACCCAGCTCTTTCATCCCTTTTTCACTTACTGTCTTCCACTGGTATTGCTATTCTCAGTTGCCCTGGGCTTTTTTTTCCAGCTCCGACCTTCTCTTGTCTGCTGGGCTCTCCCCACATCTCAAACACCAGCGCCAGGCTGTACTAGTTAGTTACTCAGCTAATGGTTTAATTACAGACTGCCTCCACAGGACTCTTCCATTAACCCAGCAAGGGGGAAGGAAAAATTACACAAAGAGCATCTATGACATGCTTGCTTTCTAGCCCCCCTCTCTTATCTTCCCTTTGAAGTCCTGAGTGCCACTAATGTGTGCTTCCCACTAGAAGCTTTGACAATTGTCCTTGCAGTCAAATGCAGGAAACTCTTGGCTGATTAGAACAACCAGCAAGGAAGAAATAAGCCCAAAAGGAATGCAGATGTTCTGCCAGATGGAGCCATAACATGCCCCCAAGCAACCCTTGCTAAACTCTTCCTGCCATTTTTTACCTGGTGATGCACTATCACCTTCCTATCCTCTCCTTGGGAGACAGGGAGAGGGGAAAATGGACACCTTAGCTAATGTGAGACAGATTATGGAGGCTAAAACAGCTGGAAAGAAGGTAGGCCAAAGCAAATAGATCTCTGGGACATTTCATCCTGGATGATGCTGTGGGAAACCATGATGTAGTCATCAGTTCACATGCAAAAGCGTTTTAGGTCATACAAGTGTTTTGTTGCTATCCTACCTTTTTGTCCAGCTCTTGTCCTTGTTAGTCATCCCTTGAAGGGATTATGAAAAAGCTAATACAATCCTTGGTTGAAGTTGAAACTCAAATACTTTGGCCACCTAATGAGAAGGAAGGACTCACTGGAGAGGGGCCTAATGCTGGGAAAGATTGAGGGCAATAGAAGAAGGGGACGACAGAGAATGAGATGGCTGGATGGAGTCACTGAAGCAGTAGGTGTGAACTTAAATGGACTCCAGAAGATGGTAGAGGACAGGAAGACCTGGAGGAACGTTGTCCATGGGGTCGCGATGGGTCGGACACAACTTCGCAATTAACAACAAAATAAATCCTTAGTAAGACCATACCGGGATTACTGCATCCACATTACAAAAAAGATGCTGAGACTTTGGAAAAAGTGCAAAGAAGAGCAACCAAGATGATTACAGGCCTGGAGACAAAAACATATGAGGAATGGTTGCAGGAATTGGGTATGGCCAGTCTAGAGAAAAGAAGGACTAGGGATGACATGATAGCAGTATTCCAGTATCTGAGGGGCTGCCACATAGAAGAGGGGTTCAACTTATTTTCCAAAGCATCAGAAGGCAAGACGAGAAACAGTGGATGAAAAATACTCAAGAAGAAAAGGAACCTGGGATTAAGGAGAAACCTCCTAACAGCGAGGACAATTAACCAGTGGAACAGCTTGCCTTCAGCAGTTGTAGATGCTTCATCACTGGAGGTTTTTAAGAAAAGACTGGACAATCACCTGTCTGAAATTGTATAGGGCAGGGGTAGGCAACCTTGGCTCTTTTATGACTCGTGGGCCAACTCCCAGAATTCCTGAGCATGGCTCAGGAATTCTGGGAGTTGAAGTCCACGAGTCATAAAAGAGCCAAGGTTACCTACCTCCTGGTATAGGGTCTCCTGCTTGAGCAGGGGGTTGGACTAGAAGACCTCCAATGTCCTTCCAGCTCTATTCTGATTGATTGAATGCCTACTATAGTGCTACATCTTACTTTTCAGCAATTCTGTCCAAAAATGAAAGCAGCAGCACCTGCCAGGTAAGAAGTAACACTACCTCATCCTTCTAGTTTATCATTCAGAGAACAGAGAACTATAATGCAAAAAGGTGACCTGTTGATCATCTGTGAAGAGGCAACGAGTCATCTCCTTTTTGAGACAGCTCTCGTTGTAACTGGAACATCACATGACGTTAGTATGCAGTTTCAGCAAATTTACAATGAAGAAATCTTTGGGATAAAGGTAGTCATTGAAGATAGCTAGATATTCCAAAGCACAGGAAGGATGAATGTTGATGAGGGGAAAAAATGGTTAAAAGGGTGGAGCTTGTGTGTGAGAGTGAACATTTTTATGTAGCATTTCCAGGAACAGCTGGGCCCAGGACACTCTCTTTCCCACGACTTTTTACCTCATGTAGAAAGATTTCTAAAATAAATACTTAACCACAATTCTCTGATGACTAGGAACTAGTTCCAAAAATCTAACTGTTCGGAATAGATGCTTGGTGTCACTGTCTCTTTGGCTTATAGAGATGGTGACAGAATTCTGCAATGGTGGGCTTCCAGCTCAGTGTCCATTGTTATCTTTTCCCATCCTTCTTTAACAAAAATAAACAAACATCTAGCATGAATCTTTCTGGAAACTTTCCTAATGGCATGTTTGGCCTTCAAATGGTTTTTCCTCTTGTTTACTTCCCACCTCCACCTCTTCAGTCTCACAAAACCTTGCAGGATTCAAAAGGATTGTAAAGAATTTTCTCAGACCCTTTTCTCAGCTGCTGTCTCTAAAGTGGGTGGTGTGGGAAGCCAAGAGCTTTATGAAAAACATGTCTGGGTTTTTAAAGACATACCTGCCTGAATCTGTCGAGTTTAGGTGGAATATGCAGCTCAGCCCCACAAATAGGAGCCAGTGGTTTTTCTTTTTACTTCTTGGGTGGTGCAAGGACACACGTAGCTTCACATTTAAAACCTACCCAGATGTGCCACAGTGGAGGTATAAAGGATTCCAGATCCCTACTATTCTCATCAAGGACTGAAGCTGAAAACAAAAGATGTGGAGAAAGATGGTGCAAGTCCCAAGCAAAGTATAAGAGAAACTATAAGAGAAAAGTAAAATTCTGGTTTATCTATCTCCTGTTCTGTGTAACATAGAAAATAACCATAGGCTTTTTAGGCTTTGGTCTCATTGAATACTTAAACAGGGGAGAAAATTACAGCCAGCAATCAGCAGATGGAATTGAATTTCAGGACTGAGTTGCACACTAACCTGTTTTCTTACTCTCTCATTTCTTATTCCAGCAGGCCTAAGCCGTGCGGGCTTACCCTTTGGTCTGGTTCGGCGGGAACTGGCATGCGAGGGCTATCCTATTGAGCTGCGTTGCCCAGGCAGTGATGTCATCATGGTGGAGAATGCTAACTATGGCCGCACAGATGACAAGATCTGTGATGCTGATCCCTTCCAGATGGAGAATGTCCAGTGCTATCTGCCGGACGCCTTCAAAATCATGTCCCAAAGGTAAATGGCTTCATAGGTCTCCAGGAAATATTATGGAGCAATCCCTCTTCCATAATCTTTCTCCCTGTCATTCTAGTAAATACAAAATAATAATAATAATGTTGTAGAGATGGGGAAGTAGCAAAAAAGCAAAATCTGAGCAGTTTTGCAATTAAATGACTTAAAAATAACAGTGAGGAGTATAATTATACTGATATACTGTGATAAAATTGTGGCACGTGGACTTTTGTTAACTCTCACATAATACTGAAATTCAGGGTGACTCTCTGAAGCAAAATGCAAGGAATCTGTTCTTTATTGTAAGGAAGAACCTTACAATACCAAAGGGTATTCTGTATGCCTCCTGATCATTTGAAAGTAAAGGTGGAATTTAATACTACCATCATCATCACCGTTTTCATCTTCATCATCATCACCATCTAGTATAGCTACAGTCATATGCTAGTTGGGTTTGGTTCAGTTTAGCAAGATTTTTCTGCAACTAGATTTCACATAATGAACCCTGCATGAAAGTAAAAGGAAATCCACTCAACAATCTTCAGCTTACTGAAGACGTTTGAAAATCTGTTTCATTATAGATACCAGAGCCCGCTTTGTCCAGGAGAAGCTAATAAAAGACAGAACGTGCATATGTTTTGAAGTAAATGAGCAGAAAGGGGTGGGTGAGTGGGTCACCTCAAACAGAATAAATTACAAAGGACACTTTGGAATTCACAGCACTGAAAATGACAACTGCTCAACTATTCATATCTCAGCCAGTCTACCTTCATTGTTTTGACCCTAAAATAATTCAAGTTTGTACAAGCCATCAACTATTCTATTTATTATTCCTGATTAAAAATTCCCTGAAGTGTCCACATATTCCATTATGAATACAGGTCAGGTATTCACAGACTTTCCAGGAAATCTTTCCATCTATGTAGTTTGACAAGGTAACTACTTTAATGAGAAATAGTGTGGATAGAATCCATCTCGATTTCAGCAATGCTTCTGACAAGGTTCTGCAGGACATTCTCATTGACAAGTGGGATTTGGATGGCACTAGATAAGGGAGCTCTAGAACTGGCGGGCTAACTGCGCTCAGTATTAATGGCTCTAGTCTAGATCACATTAGAGAATAGTAGCCAGGCAGGACCAGCAAGGATTTGTCTCAAGACAGTACTATTAACATTTTTATTAATAACCTGGGCAATAGGATTGGTGGGCTACTTCTCAAATTCATTTAAGAAACAACATCGGGAGGTCTGGTCAACCCTTAGGAAACAATTGCAATCTAATATGCACAAGTTGGAAGACTGGATTCCCTTGTCCTTCAACAGGAAGAAAAGTAAGGTATTATATTTAGGGAGGGAAAATTCCGTGGACATATAGAAGATGGTTTGGAAACAGTATGTCAGATAATGACTTGGGTGTGATCAGTGACAATAAGCCATGAGCCACCAGTGTGGATATGGCAACTAAAAAGATTAATGCAGTTCTGAACTGCTTTAGAAGTAGCATTGTTTCAAAGATGCCTGAAGATCTTATTCCCCTTTGCTCTGCACTAGTTAGAGCATATCTGGAGTGCTGTGTACAGTCCTGGGCACTACATTTTCAGAATATTGACTGGTTAGAACAGTGGTTCTCAACATTTTCTTCACCACAGACTGTCTTTAAATACCTTTTGTGGCCACAGATCATGGCCACGGACCATCAAGACCTAACTCAAGATTTAAGTTATGTCATTTCTTCAAGCCTTCATGGACCACAGATTGGGAACCACCAAGTTAGAACATAATCCAGAAGAGAATGACAAAAATGATACAGGTATTTGAAGACATAACTTTCATGAGGACAGATTGAAGGAATTTGGGATAGACAGTCTGGAGAAAAAAAACAAGATAGCAGTATTTAGGTATACAAAAAGTGCCAAAGGGAAGCTGGTTAGCAACTGTTTTTTTATTGCTATAGAGATTAGGACGCATCTAGTTGCTATTGTTAGGGCATTGTGTAGCAGGATGACATGTGGTCAGAACATAAGGCTCCCAATTGTCTTCAGGCAAGTGAGAGATGAAGTGTCCATTTAGTGAGCTGCAGCATCTGTCATTCCTTTTCCCTAAACGGAAACCAAGTGAAATTTAGATCTGGTTGTAAAATATACTGCATGACCATCAGTGTAAACTTGGGCAAGTGATATTGAATTCTAACAACACAACTTTTCTTTTACTTTCTTTTTTTTCCATGGCTTTATTTAAATTCTTTCTTCTTTTTAAATGTGCTTAAGTGGAATATCTGCTATAGTATATGAAATACATAATTTTGTTTGAGAGCCAGTTTGCAGTAGTAGTTAAAGGCATCCAGCTAGAATCTAGAAGACCGTGAGTTCAAGTCCTGCTTTAGGCATAAAACCAGGTGAGTGAGTTTGGTTAATCACTCTGTTTCAGCCCCAGGAAGAATATATGGACAAACTACTTCTGAAAACATTTCCAAGAAAAGTGCAGAGATTTGTCCAGACAATTGCCAGAAGTCAAGACTGACTCAAAGGTGCACCCGAACTCTCTCTCTCTCTCCCTCTCTCCCTCTTTCTCTCTCTCCTTCCCTCTCTCTCTCTCTCTTTCACACACACACACACACACACACACACACACACACACACACTTACATAGCAGACCATAATTGGGCGATATTTTTTTCCCAGGAAATTCCTTACCAATTCTTGCTCATACCTTTTGCAATTTTAAGAGGGGAATAAGTTAGCAATTCCTGACTGGTGAGCAGTGGGCAGTAATCTCACATTGGGAGTTTCAGAACATGAAGGGATTTTGGATCCAAAGAGCCTTCAGTTTGCCCTGGATACCGCCCAGGTTTTGAATTCACCCAATTAGTGGACCCAATTAATGAACAGAGATATTCAGAATATTTATTTTTTCCCCATTTGCCAGTGACAGGATACTGCAGTTATTCAATATACTGCAATTTTTCATTTCTTTTATATCGTCAGCATCATCTTTACAGTCTTTATTTTAGAACCCATATTTTTCTGTTGTCTTCCAACTTCCAAACTTTTTCTTCAAAATAGTCACTCATAAGCAAAAAAAAATGTGATAAAAGATTAGCCAATTTAATATTTCAAATTTCCAAAAGTGGGTTAGTTGCATCCAAGACTACTTAAAGGAGTTTCATTTCAGGATGCCTTTTTCTGATCTTTGAAAAATCATTGAGGACAGGTATAGAGCCAGAGGACTGGAAGAGAACAAATGTTGTTGCTAGCTATCGTAATTCATGCCTTCATCACCTGCAGTGAACTCTACATGGGTCAGCATTTAAGACCATCTAGAAGCTATAATTGGTTCACACTGCAGCCACTTGCTTGTTAGTGGCACATATCCTCAGGAATATTTTACAAGGCCCTGCATTAATTTCAAAAAGGCTTCTGGGTGCAGTTCAAGTTATTGGTTCAGACTTATAAATTCCTATATGATTTAGCACTTAGATACCTCCAAGATTACATTCTCCAGCCTGAATTGAACTGACTAACTCATTTGTTCAGGAAAAACTGTTGTTAGTGCCCCACTTCCATGGGGGGAGGGGACTTCTATTTTTTGGAACTGTCCTCCCTTGGTGTGCTCTTGGAAAATGCTGAAAATTAAACTCTTCCAAAGAGCTTTTATAGCCTGAGTAGGTTTGGTTTATTTTATTTTATTATTTATAACTTGTTTTGATTGGTTGGAATATTGTTGTTTGTTTATGGATAACCTATTTGTATTATATGGGCATTTTTGTTGCATTATTATTATTAAACACCAAGAGTCCTCAAATATTACAGTAGGTTATAAGTTGAATGAATGAGAGGGGAAAAAAGAGGATCCAAATAATTACAGACTGGTCGGAGGGGGGGTGGACAAAAATGTAGAACAGTTTTTTAAGCAGATTTTTTTTAATATGGGCCATATTGTACTGCCATGAGCTAGCTAGATACAGACTGATTGAGCAATCATACCCAATGACCATACATCAGGAGTTCAAGCTAGAAGAATGTGTGGAGCAGCGTATTGTGAAGCTCTGTCTTAGGCTCTATACTCTTAACTTATTTATAAGTGACTTGGAGGAGAAATTAGTAAATATAAATATAAATTTTATATTTGGACAACCCAAAGACAGGCAAACAACAAATACTTCAAAAGATGGTATCAAATCAGAAGGCATTTCACAAGTTGGAGGAGAAAGCAACAAGATACATTTCAGCAGGGACAAATGCAAAGTGTTTCATTGGAGTAAGAAAAATGAAAGGTATGAGTATAGGATGAAAGAAGCCATACTGAGCAACAGTACATGCAAAAAAACCCACAACCCTGAGTATCTTGGTGGATCCCAGGATCAACACGAACCAAAAGTGTGATACCACAGCCAAAAAACCCAAATGTTATTATATGCAAAAATCAACAGAAGTAAAATGCTAAGATCAAGGAAAGTAATCATTCATCTCTATTCCAAATAGTTCAGACAACATCTAGAATATTGTGTCCTGTTCTGGGTGCTGCAATTTAGGAAGGGCATTGGCAAACTAAAGTGTGTTTAAAGAAGAGCATCCAAAATGATGAGGATCCTGGAAGGGAAATCTTAGGAGGAACATTAGGCAATATGTAAATATTGATTGGCCATAAGGAAGGACTTCCAAGTGGGAAGAGTTGTTCAACAGGGCATGGGCGGTCTTGGGACCCTCCTCTGTTGGAATTGTTTAAAGAGAGGCTGGATGGCCATCTGTTGGAGATGCTGTGGCAGTGCATTCCTGCACTGGACAGGAACTTGGACTAGAGCAGTGTTTCTCAACCTTGACAATTTTAAGGCATGTGGACTTCAACTCCCAGAATTCCACAGCCAGCAATGCTGGCTGTGGAATTCTGGGAGTTGAAGTCCACATGCCTTAAAATTGTCAAGGTTGAGAAACACTGGACTAGAGGATCTCCATGATATATCCCAACCCTTACACTGTATGATTCGAGAAATGTAAGTACACTTCCAATCCTGCCTGATAAAACAATTAAAATTTTAAACAATTAAAAATATCTAACTAAAAACAGACAGCCAATTTGGTGTGGGATGAAGATACCAGGCTACAAACCAGAAGACTATGACATTTGTTTCCACCTTAGGCACCAAGCCAGCTGGGTGATCTTGAGCCAGTCACTCTCTCTCAGCCCTAGGAAGGAGGAAATGGCAAACCATTTCTGGAATCTTGCCAAGAAAACTGCAGGAACTTCTCCAGGGAGTCACTAAGAGTCAACACTGACTTCAAGGAACCAAAAACAACAATAACTAAAAATAGAATTGTTTGCTCTATTCATGCACTTTAACTCCTGTGACATCCATTTCCATCCAGTTATAGTGTGTGAACTTTGCTCTTGGCTTCCTTTGTCTTTTCCCACTATTATTTTTTAATAACTCCAGTACAGTTCTTTCTCATACTCCGATTGGTTTAAGGACAGTAGATCCGGCCTCCATTTTACAATTGTGACAAAGTAAGATTCACTTCCCAGATAGTGTCCCAACCTTCTCAATACCACTTCCCTTTTGCTATTAATAGCATACTAATGTTGTTTTCCCCATTAGACAATCTTGAAATGGCTTACTATATGAAGAAATGGGATAATTCAAAGTATAATATCAATAATTGCAAAACTCAAAGACAGTGTTAGCAAACAATATATCAGAAACTATTTTCAAGGTACTTCTATTGTGATGCCTATAGGCCTTGTCTGAAAGTTTTCCTAACCAAGCTAATTTGCTTTGCTCTTTAAAACTGTGGTTTTTGTTAGATTTCTAATACTGAAAGAAGCCACGAGAGCAGTTCATAAACATTATATACAGTCAAAAAATTCCTTTGAATAGCCAGTTTTTAGTTAGATGTGTAGATATTTTTTCTATGTACAAAATTCCCTCTGCTTTCTTGGAGAGAGAAAGAGCTTCTCAACCCTTGCACAGTTTTTGGTGAGAAACAGATGTGGACCTCATTATAGATTCAAGAAAGTTGTCTATTGCTTAATTTTGCCTCTGCTATCACCACCAATTTTGTTAATTCCTCAATTCTTCTTTCCCCACAAGGTTTTTCTTAATCTTGACCTATGTCCTAGGCTTGCAGTCAGATGTACTGTAATCTTTCTCTGAACCGCACTCCTCTTACCTCACGTTTCGGCCCTTTGAATGGAGCATTCAGAGACGAGGGAAATAGTTTGTGGATTTTCCAAATAGAATGATATAACCACCTGACTAGATAGTGACTGATGGGTCTGTGCAGGCTTGGAAGCACCGCTGCCCTAACCTTGTCCAACTTATTTTACAGGTAAACTGAGCTTCAGTGAAAGCAGGTGGTGCCTGTTTGGTCCCAGAAGGCCTAAGCTGATACCGGCTCCAGTTGCTTTGGCAGCCGACAGCCCCTGGGAGTCCCCTCCCCAACCTCTCTTGCCTGTTGCATCAGCCTTTTGAGGAGAGCAGGTGGCAGGAGCTAACGAAGTGGGGAATAAGGAGACTGTGATTCTTAGTTCTCCTTCTGGACCTCCATTCCACTAAGATCCGAATTATTTAGCGATAGACTGTGAGGAGACTGCTTCCTTGAAATGTCAGATAGTATCTGGAAGGATAAGTTAGGGAATGTTTTTTTTAAATCATATACAGATTTTTAAATTTGTCTGGTTACATTTGGGGATCAGATAATAATGTTCATTATTGCCTGATCCCCAAATGCACCATATCAGATTTGATCATCCACACTCCTCTCCCCCACTTTCCCCCATTTTGTGCTTGTTTTTAAGATGTAGTAAGTTCAATGTGTTATTATAATACTTTTCTTACAGTTCATTTTTTTATAGTACATTTCTTATATTGGGCCGGATGGACCTATTATCCAACAGCAAGGGAGGAACTAACTGAATTGTATTTTGCCTCTATAAGGCAATATCCATGTCTAAATGGTAGTGCTATACAGGAGCTATGCATCTTCGTCAGGACTTGTACAAGTACATGTTTGATCTTGACAGGAAAGAAATATAGCTCAAGCATCTAGGTGCATGTATAGATTTCTGGACAAGCATTAAATACTAAACTTCAATATTTGAATTTTATTTGAATTTGTTTGAGATGTTCTGTGTTGAGATCTGTCTCTCAGACTGTACCCAGCCAGCACAGTAGTTGGCCTGTATAATCCTACTTTCAGGAAAGAGCATTTTCTGATTTCTGACAAGTTTTCAGCGGGCCAGTTCTGTTGTGGGGTGAGTGGAGGACTCCCTATGCGTACGTTAGAGTAGACATATCAATTAGTTATCCTAGTATTAGATTCATCTGCTCCCAGCTTACAGCTTCATGTTTGAGATTACCACCTGCATCTGAGGTTTCGAATAATGGGTGCAAGTGGTTTTTTTTTTTTTTTTTAAGCTCTGGAAAGCAAGTGCAATTAAAAGTGTCAGTCAGTTCCATCTAGTGGTTTCTCTTAGAACTGCATTATGTCTCTGCCTTAATAACGTTTCCTCATTTTCCCTTCTCTTTCAGGTGCAATAATCGGACACAGTGTGTCGTGGTAGCTGGCTCAGATGCTTTTCCAGACCCTTGCCCTGGCACCTACAAGTACTTGGAGGTCCAATACGACTGTGTCCCTTACAGTGAGTTCATTTCTCATTGTATTATGATACATCGTCTTGTTTCTGTTCTTGATCCAAATGAGATCCCCGCCTGACCCAGGGAGGAGAGATTCCACAGGCTGGCACACCCATCTACTGACACAAAGCAGGGGATCTACTTAGGAAAAATACTACTTAGCACTGAAACAAGAAACAAGTCTTGACTATGGTGCCTCCTGTGCCAGGGGATTTCAACAGCTAAAATAATAATTTCACCTAATTCCCAAGTTTTAAGAATGGAATTGAATCTAATACATTAGTTCTGGAAAGCTGGGCAAGAGGAATCCTAATTGTTCCATTGTCAACTCACCTTGTGTTGGATGATCACTGTTTTCATTTCTCCACTTTTTCTTGTCATCCAATAGTTTGTATCCTTGGGTACCAAGCACATGACTGAGCCCGAAGTTCTAGTTTTAAATTTGGGGGATAATATTTTTGAGCAAAAGTTATTTTTTTAAAACAGATTTTGGATGAAGGTTGAATACCAGACCCTTTTTATATTATTACCTGACCCCTCCATCACCTTTGAGCATTTAGAGCTAAATATTGCCTAACATTAGTCTTCTCCAGGATCATATTTCAGTCCGTCTCTCCTGAAGCTGAATTTAAGAAAAATAAAAATTCATCACAGAACAGACCTTCAGGGAAAAATGTTCCTCCCATATAAGGCCACCCATGACTGCATATGGAAGGTGCAGGGGTTTGAAATACATGCTCCTAACATGCACTGTATGTTTCTGATTGTTGTAGATTTGTTTCTGTACATAAGTATGGATCTATAGCATTTAGCTAACCTTTATGTGAGTGTCCATTTAAAGGGTATACCCACACTCTATCTTGTCTATATCTATATAGACATATGGATATACATACATATTCATGCTTCATATGATCTGCATATATACATACATATATATACATACATATATATACATATACATATACATATATGTATGTATGTATGTATGTATGTATGTATATGTATATATACATATATATATATATATATGCATTGCACCCATGCATATATGGTCTGTATGCCCATATGGATGGTGCAGTGAGGTATATGGCTATCTCCATGTCAGTGTGCATGCATATGACTCTGTGTGTACACACATGCATGTCTCAATGTTTCAGTGTATGCTTGGAGGTGGTTTTGTGTGCTTCGTATTAGAGCTAAATCATCTGGGTGTGGGAGGTGGGAACCTATTTTAAATGTAGCCATGGCAGCAGGATGAAGGGTACTGCCTCTTCCCAGAGGACAGGCAAGTGGAAAATGACTCTGCCACATGGCTGTCCTCAGTCACCGAGGTTAGGGTGTTTTCATACATACATACATATGCTTTGAATGCTGCTAAGCTCAGCTGGGTGTATGGCCATTTGGGTATATGTACATTTTGGTTTTGAGTGTATGTTTGAGAGCCCACATGGTGTGAGTGATATACCAGTGGCCTTATAAGTATGTCTATGCATATTTATTGAATGTGGCCATGTATGCGTTTGTACCATCATCCAGACTAAGATACTTAAAATAAAACTTGACAACTGTTCTCTTTCTTGGAAAAAGAGGGAATCAAGGTAGGCATCCCTTTAAAAAATTAAGATATTGCAATTATTTTTCCTCAAAAAGAATATGTGATTTTTAAAAAATGCAAGTATGCTAACAAACAGAACTTAATGAGAGTTTGATTTTCTGGCTGGTGAGATAATTGTGAAATCTGGAAATAGGACAGTTTTCTATTACAAGCTGCCCCTGTCTCTTGGAACCCATCTTTTTTTCATTCCTATTGATGGATCAAACTGAGTAGTTGCAGGCGGGGGAGGGGTGGTGGTGGTATAACTGCCACTCCCTGAACTAGTTTTTCAACACTAGGACTTGCTGAGGAACCTGAATTAAAACTGGATCCTGTGATGTTGGGCAGTGGATCAAGGAAGAAACTTTTTATTTCAGAGCCTGACTTAAATCTATTTCTCTTTGTATCATGGATCCTGACCAAGCCTAGTAAGTCTCATCTGGCAAGCCTAATAAGAGCTATTGAACTGCCAGCTTGGGATGTCCTTCCTCCCTGGGTCAGCAACTGATACACCCTCTCCTTTCCTGTTCTGTTATTTGGGGTGTGTGGAGAGGTTGGCTCTTCCTTGCTTCATACCTTATCCACTCTCCACTGGGGCTTGGGTCCATGTGGGAGGGATAATCATTCAGGGTGTATCCCCCTCCCTCCATGCTAATACCCCTTTGGTTTCTCCTCACAGATGAAGTGGAGTGATGCAGGGCAGACGTGGCCTCTTAACTTCTTAACATTCATTCCTGCCCCTTTTCCTTCCAGCTACCTGACGGTGCCGAAACAAGTCAATCAACGCTCATCTCAGGGTGTAACCAGTCCTGACCCCTCAGAGTTAACAGCACTGAGAATACACCAAACCAGCAAAGGGCACTAAATTATTGGTTTATAAAAAGGGGAGAGAAGATGCAGATGGTATTGTGGTAGAAAAGCAGGATGGGTGGATGTGCCAATGAGCATAGTGGTAGAAATAATTATCTCCTCAGCACAGGTGACCTCAGGGCCTGGAAATGACCCACCGCATCCATTTGCATACATCACAGTTTATATATTATTTGTATAATATTTACATATAAGTACATTTACAAACTCTTTTGTTTAGTTTTACACAATTTTTTCTGTTCAATCATATCCAGTTCTTGGAGACCCCCTGGATAAATCTCGGCAGTTTTCTTGGCAAAGAATTTCAGAAGTGGTTCACCATTGCCTCCTTCCTAGGAGCTGAGAGAAAATGACTGCGCCAAGGTTACCCAGCTGGCTTTGTGCCTAAAGCGGGGCTAGAACTCACAGATTCCTGAGGCCTTAACCACTACACCAAGCTGGCCCTCAGTTTTACACATAGTCATATGCAAATTACATGCATGTATATTTCCATAATTTAAAATGTTTCTATGCATACATTTTGTGTATGTGTGCATACACATATGCACACAAACACCCTTCCATTTTTCAATCTCATGCAAAATACACATATTTTTATATATGTAGTATAGTGTACATAAAGAAGTATGTACTGTATAGATGCGGACAAGGACAGCAAGGGAGATTTCTTGGAACAGTTCATGTTTATTTTTGAATTCCATACCAAGTTATACGTATCACGAAAATGCACTGGCTAATTTACTCATATGTATTTTCCCATGAAGACTTTTCATGGTATTATTTAGGCATTTATCCACCAGGTTTTTGAAACTGTGGATAAGCACATTAACACGAACTCTTCTATGATCCCCCTTTCCCTCCTTTTTTCTCACATTCTGGTCTTAGTGTGGAGAGATGTTGACTTAGGCTAAACCAAAGGTTTCTATAAAACTCATTTAATGAATGAGTCCATCTCAAGCTAGAAGATGCACACACAGATCTAGAGTGGACATCAACAATTCCCAAGACACAGTTTGTGAAGCCAAGGATATAGTTTGGCTAAGCGAAGCCATTGTCTCTTCTATCAAGAACGCCTTGTGGTCACATTGGGCTTTCTGTAGAACCAGAATTCAGTTCCTGATCTTGTTCAGAATTCAGAATTCAGTTCCTGATCTTGTTCAGAATTCAGTTCCTGATCTTGTTCAGAATTCAGTTCCTGATCTTGTTCCACCTTGTCCGGTCTCAGTGTTTCTGCTATTCTCTGCTGGTTGCTCTGTCCTGTTTCTTTAAACAGGGGAAAGCTTGATCCAATGCTGTTTCTGCTGGGCTCAGGACTGGGGCAGGTGATGGGAGGGGAAAGCAAGAAACTGGAGTTGTGGTGGGGAGAGATGGGTCACAGAGCGAGAGCAGAGATGAGAGGGGCCTCTGTTGTCAGACCCTTTTGCTTCTTTCTTTGCAGCTCCTTCCACTCTAACCATACACCAATCTTCCTTCCTCAGGGGCCAGTCTGTCATGTGGAAAAATAAAACCATTTAATGTGTCCTATTTTTTGGTTTTGATTTTTTAAGTGGATTTTTATTATGGTGTCAATATATATATATTTTTGAAACACAACCTCCCTCTCCCCTGCCTTCTTTTGGCTTCCTCCCAACTATCCTTTCTCTTCTTTCACTCCACCTTTTTCTGCCGCTTGCTTCCTTTGCTTTTTCATAGACCAGGGGTACTTAGTCCCTCTCTGCTTGAGGAATCTTTCAAATGTTGGGATGTGGATATTTAAGCAACTAGTGGTGCCACCACTCGCCCAGGAAAGTAGCTGCTTGTACAATATCTGGATTCTGTCCTATAAAGGATTGAAGTTGAGGAGTTGCCAAACGAGACTTGTTAAAACTAGGCAAAGAGCAGGAAGTTGCAGGGAATGCAGCACTTAATAAAACGGGGGGTTATGCCAGAAATAATATTCAAGGATCTGCGTTTTTGGAGCCTGGTCTTAGTAGTCCCTATTGGTAATTTCGATATTTATATTCGCATTGGGCAGATTTAGATTAGATGAAAACCCTCATATTGTCGACACTTTTGCAGAAGACTCAGACTTTTTAGGTGAATGTATGATATAGTTTTCAACAGGTTATTTATTCATAATCTGTGAGAGCTTACTTCCTCTGAATTTGGGCTTAGGCCAGGAGATATGTCCAAGCCCTTGTTCAACCACAAATTTCTTGAATGGTTGATAATCGACAACTGTCTTCTTGTGGGGATAGGTGGGAGAGAGGCCTCCTAAAGTAATGTCAGTTCTTGGACAAAATGTGTGATTTTGTGGGCACTTGAAAAAAAAAAGACTTTTCCCTAAAGGACATACTAGGGCAGCCTACATCAAGAGCTGGACCCAAAGTGAAGCAGGAGTGCCCTTCACTAGGGAAATGTACTGCTCACAAGCTCTGTGAAGCCACAGCATATCACAGTATTGCCAGAGAAATTACCAGTTTTCCTACAATTTCACCTACACTGTATTTGAGCAAGAAATAAATTGGTTCATTTCTCCAATGCTGCCAGCATGATAGG